TTTTAAAATTCAGATAATGGAAAATTACTGTAGAGAGACTAATTTTTTTCATTTGGTTGGCATTTGGTCAGGGATTTAACTGTCTCATTGGGGCCTCCAGGGTCCTTCTCTCTGCCTCTCAATCAGCTCTCATTCTCTTTCCTCATCCTGACTCCTCCGCGCCACATGTCTCGTACACCTCACATTAGGTCCTGTACAGCATTTTTGATAACTATGTTTTATGAAAAACAATCTAGATATAACTTCTGAAAGAAAATAATTCAAACTATCAGAGGAGGAAAGAGGATTAAATATTTATACATATTCACACTTGAACACCAACTTTACTAGCTCATAAGAATCCAAGAACAAAAGAAGGGAGGGAGGGAGGGAGAGAGGAAAGAAGGAAGGAAGGAAGGAAGGAAGGAAGGAAGGAAGGAAGGAAGGAAGGAAGGAAGGAAGGAAGGAAGGGAGGGAGGGAGGGAGGGAGGGAGGGAGGAGGGAGGAAGGGAGGAAGGAAGGAAGGGAGGAGGGAAGGAAGGGAGGAAGGGAAGGAGGGAGGGAGGGAAGAGGGGTAGAGGTGAGGAGGGAGAGAAGGAAGAAGAGAGAAAGGGAGAAGGGGGTGGGGAGGGAAGAAAGGAAGAATAGCCCTTCAAATCACAGGAGATGTGTTGATGAAAGACTAATGGAATGAACTGATTCTTATGAGTCCAAGTGAGATTTTAGCAATTGGTAAAGCAATGATTTAAAGAGAAAAATTAACATTGCTTCATTACACTTAGATATTTGGTAAAATTCTGGGAAATTTTATTCAATTGGCAGAGACTCAACATAGTAAACTATCCATGAAGTCTCAGGAGAAGAAATGAGAATAAAATTCTAACTGCATTTTTAACTGCTTTCAGTGCCATAATAGGAAAATACATCTCTCTCTCTCTCTCTACTCTGATTCATAGACTGTTTTCAGGCTGGCTTTACAGAAGTGAATTTAAATGAGGCTTCACTATGGAGCACTTTGCTACAGGTGTTCTTGAACAGCATATCTTTCTGGTTTAAATGTTAACTACCAAGTACAAAAGCCCCAGGTTTGCTTTCCTATGTCATGGTAAAAATCAGCCAGAAACAGTTTTATCTGTCCTTGAAAAAAAATGTTTTTAAATTGGCACTAAAGTTTTATCTTCCAGATGGGCAGCCTTAAGTGGGCCCTGCTGAGATGGCATATTAAAACCCTAAATATGCCTTCAGTCTACACATGAATTCCCCAGGTTGACAATAAATATTTAAAGAGTTGCTGGTGTGTCACAAAAACAAAACTGTGCCTGTTTCTATGTAGGGTGGTTTATAAATAAATCTGTTTTCCGCTTTTCTTTGTCTAGTCATTTTTATTTAAAGGGGCTGAACCAGCTGCATTTTCAAGGGCTCACCAGTACGCTGGGCCACATGGCTGAGGCTACGAATAGTTGCCTCTTGGAACCATGCATATGTTCTATGGATGCTACCAATACACACATTCCTGTTTCCAGTAGAAAACATAGTTCTCTCTCACGGACCCAGAGGATACCACTTGAGCAGCAGTAAGACTCCAACTACATCCATTCATTCCCATGCAAATGTCTCTCTAGGCACTGCTCAGTCCTGGGACTATAAAAACGAGAGCAATCATGATAATAATAATTATATCAACAACTAGGCAAACACTGAACAACCACTATGTGGCAGGCATAGCATTTTACATCCTTTAATCCTCTCCAAAATTCTTTGAAGTGGATATAATCTTATTTTGGTATATATTTTTAAAATCTTAAACCCAATGGCAATGTTTATGCTATCATGGCTAAACCATAGAACTAAGAGATAGTCTCCAAACTGGAGATTATTGAATTTTTCTGTTCACTTTAAGTAAGTGGCTTAGATTGGCTATAAGGAAGGCCACCTGCCTCTATGATGAATTGATACCATACTGGATGGTGACAAACTGACCCATTTATCTTATAGATAAATGACAATTACTAGGTGTAAAAGATAGGATAGCCCTGGCTGGTTTGGCTCAGCAGTTAGAGCGTCAGCCTGCAGACCAAAGAGTCAAGGGTTTGATTCCAGTCAGGGGTACGTACCTCTGTTGCAAATCAGACCCCAGCCCTGGTCGGGGTCGTGCAGGAGGCAACCAGTCAATGTGTCCCACTTACATCATGTTTCTCTCTGCTCCTTCTTCTCTCCTTCCCAATCTATCTGAAGATACATGAAAAAATATCCTAAGGTAAGGATAAAAAAAAAATAGGATAAGGCAGAAGAGAGGGCAAGGCTTCTGCAGCTCTAAGTGAGGTTCAGAGTACTATGGTCCCAGTTCTCCACCGGCTATTGTTTGAGTTCCAGAATTACCAAAGATATTTATGACAATGGAAAGCGTTGCTGAGATTTACTGAGTGCTAACTCTGAATTAGGAACTGTACTAAGTGCTCAAATACCTTAGTTGGTTCAGTCCTTCCCTTGAGGTAAGTATGGTTGTTCCCATGGTTTGTTGAGGGTTGGTGAGGTGCACTGGCTTCCTTCAGTTCCCGTAGTTCAAAAATTTAAAACCAGGATTTTAATCCAGTCAGTGTTCTTCACTCCTACTGCCCCTGACATTGCTACATACATAATACAGGAAAAGAGGTACCTGGCACAAAATGTATTCCATGTTTTAAATTGAGGTATAATTTACATATATTAGTTTCAGTTGTACAACATGATGATTTGATATTTCTATATATTGCAAACAATAAATTTGATATCTGTCCCCATACATAGTTACAAATTTCTTTCTTTTTTTTTTTTTTGTGATGAGAACTTTTAAGGTTTACTCTCTTAGCAACTCTCAGATATGTAGGTTTTTTATATTCCACGTATAAGTGATATCTCATACTGTTTGTCTTTCTCCATCTGACTTATTTCACTTAACATAATGTCCTCAAGATCTATCCTTACTGTCTCAAATGTCAAGATTTCCTTCTTTATGGCTGAATAAAAATCCATTATATATATTTTTTCTTTACCATACATTCATTAATGGGCACTTAGGTTGTTTTCATACCATGGTTATTGTAAATAATGCTGCAATGACATTGGGCGTGCATATATTTTTGAGTTAGTGTTTTAGTTTTCTTTGGCTAAATACCCAGAAGTAGACTTGCTAGATCATATGGTAGTTCTATTTTTAACTTTTTGAGGAACCTTCATAATGTTTGGCATAGTTTCTACAATTTACATTCCCACCAACAGTGCACGAGGGTTCACTTTTCTCCACATCCTTGCCCACATTTGTCATTTATTCTCTTTTTGGTAATAGCCATTCTAACAGGTATGAGTGCTACTGAACCAAAGTCTGTGTGTCTGACTTTTCAAAAGGCAGAAACACAAATGTCAGGAGTTTGGAGTAAGGGAAGGTTTATCAGAGAAGATGGCAGATCTAATGGTGCTCCATTTTACGTGTCCTAGGTCAAGAGATTTTAAGGGGTTGGGGGAACATGTATGTGGAGGAACTGGTGGGGCAAGTTTTAATTGGAGGCCTTGGAACTTGGCCATTTATAGTAAAGGGCACTAACACCAGATCTTCCTGGACAATAAGCCCTTGGCTTCTGAAAGGGTTCCAGTATTCATGTTTCAGTTATTTCCTGGTTCTTTGGTTTCATGAGTGTGTGTTCATTGAGTGGGGGGAGACTTTGGTTTTGGGTGCAGCTGGAGGTCAAAATTCTCTCCTCCACACATGCTCCTGCTGCATGACTTGCAGTTTTGGTCTGCAGCCTCTGAAAAGTGACTCAGAATCTCGGTAAAGAGGATAGGACCATTTTGAGCTGGTTCTGCGGTTACATGTGGTGATATGTCATTGTGGTTATGGTTTGCATTTCCCTGATGATTAGTGATGTGGAGCATCTTTTCATGTACTTGTGGGTGTGTCTTGTTTGGAAAATGTTTATTCAGACCATCTGCCCCCTTTTAAAATTAGATTGTTTGTTATTTTGCTATTTGGTTATATGAGAATTTAAAATATATATTTTGGATATTAACCCCTTACTAGATATATGACTTGCAAATATTTTCTTCCATTCAGTAGGTTGTCTTTTTTGTTGTTGTTGATGGTTGCTTTTGATGGTTACTACTATAAGTGGTAGTCCCGCTTGTTTATTTTGCTTTTGATGACTTTGCTTTTGCTGTCAAACTCCCCCAAAATAATTGTCAAGCCCATGCCGAGGAGCTTAATGCCTGTTTTCTTTGAGGAGTTTTTTGGTTTCAGGTGTTACATTCAAGTCTTTAATTCATTTTGAGTTGATTTTTGTGTATGGTATAAGATAATGGTCCAGTTTTATTCTTTGTTGTATGTGGCTGTCCAGCTTTCCCAACACCATTTATTGAAGAGACCACTTCCCCCAATTGTATATTCTTGGCTCCCTTGTCACAGTTTAACTGACCATATATGCATGGATTTGTTTCTGGATTATTCTGTTCCACTGATACATGTGCTTGTTTTTTGCCAGGATCATACTGTTTTGATTGCTATGACTTTGTAATATAGTTCGAAATCAGAGAGTGTGATGCCTCCTATTCTACTTTTAATTTCATTTTCATGCTCCTGATATAATATCTCTAGATATCTCAGATAGAAATCATATATAAAAAAGTGTGTTTACCAATTATAATAACAAATCATATTTATTGAGCACTTACTACACGATGGGCATTCAGATATTTTATCCTGACAAAAAGGTCATAATACAACTATTTTATTTTTTCTCATTTTACAGATGAGAACCTGACATATTCAATAATTTATTCGACAAATATATTAGTTTTATATCACAGTGAAACAAATTACCCAAAAGTTTGCATCCTAGAACAACACATATTTATTATTTCAATTTCAGGAATCTGGACATGACTTAGCTGGGTCCTTTGCTTTAAGATCTCACAAAGCTGAAATCAAGGTGTCAGCCATGGCCAGGGTCTCGTTCAAAGGCTCAATTAGAGAAAAATTCACTTACCAGCTCTCATGAATGTTGGCAGGGTTTAGATCTTGTGGGCTGTTGGAATGAAAGCTTCAGCTGTTATCTGGTCATTAGCCAGAGCTGCTCCCAGTTCATTGCCATGAGGGCTTCTCCATATGGCTTTGTCAAAGCCTGCAAAAGAGAGTTTGCTGGCAATACAGAAGTTACTCTCTTGTGTAAACTAATCACAGAAATTACATCCCATTACTTTTCCTGTATTATATTGGTTACAAGCAAGTTGCATACTCAAGAGGAGAGGAACACACAGAGCCGTAACTATCAGGTGGCAGAGATCATTGAGAAGCATCTTAGAATCTACTCACCACAACAAATATGTTTGAGTACCTACCATGTGTTCATGAAACTGATATTTTAGAGGGGCTTAAAGTAAATATCTCAAGGTGAAAATTTAAATAATTGGTGGAAGAAATCATAAAAAAAAGAAGTCATGGGGAGTATTTAAACAGTATCTAAAATCCTTTCAGAAATAATGAACTGTAGAATAACTTTGGACTCAGTGAGAAAACAAGCATCACATCAAAAAATGAGATATAATTCACATTCAGAGTTAGGCAATAATGACTTTCCTGTCTCAAAAGGTAGGACAACCCACCATGGATTTGGATATGTTTTGTTCAAGAGAAAGAAATGTTTTCTAACATTCAAAGATGATGAATATAAAATTATTTATTTGCAATTATCAATATATTTTACTTGTAAATGAGAAAAATAGTTCAGCATGGGGGTAAAAAGTAGAGACTATTTAAAGATAATGCCACTACAAACCTTCTCTTACTAAAAATTTATTTTTTTTTAAATTTAGTGCAAAGGAAATCATACTTATCAATGCTTTGGTGGTCATTTTTGCTATCAGTGAAATATCACTATGATTGTCAAAAGTTGCCTTTTTGTGAAATTTAAGTCATTTTAGAGATGATTCAAGTGCAAAAACAAGGAAGATGCAGAACCATCAAGTTTGATCACCTGTACATTCTGAAGCAAAAGGCCTTCTGCTGCAGCTTTGTCTCACAAATATTTTCTATTCATGGAGAAAGAAACAGCAAATAAAAACATCTGCTTTTGAATAACCACTATAGCACTTTATTCTAGTGCTCTGCCTTTTTTCTATGCATATATACACATAAATAGATGCAATAGTATTTACTTGTTTGGGCTCATCCTTGAATTCTCTTTCTTATACACTGATTTTCTTATACACTTCCTTCCACATTCAACTGCTACTACTCTAGTTCAGTCCATTATTTCTCTTGACTAGTATTCCTACTTCTACCCTTTATTATCTTTATTACCCTTCTGCCCTTTATTACCCATTGTCTACACAGCAGTCATCCTTTTAGATGTATGTCAGTTTATGATGCATCTTTGCATCCACTGGTTTGCCATCTTACTCAGAAGAGTCAAAATCCTTTCGCTTTGCCCTACAAGGCCTTTAGGATCTGTACCACTTCTTTCTTTCTCAGCTTTCCCTACCCTTTGTCCTCTTGCTTCCTGCTCCACTGCCGGCCTTGCTGTTCTTGGATATACCACCCTGTGTTTTCCTGCAAGCCTTTGTTCCTGTTCTTTCAGCTACTGGAGTAGAACATCTGTCCTCCAGTATCAACATGGCTAGCTCCTTATTTCTTCCTGCTTTCTGCTCAAAGGTCAGAGAGACCTTTCTTGACTACCTCCCGTTTTGTTTCTCTCTTTACTTCTTTAATTTTTTTTCCTTTATTGATTTTTAGAGAGAGAGGAAGTGAGAGGGAGAGAGAAATGGAAACATCAATGAGAGAGAAGTTGACTGGCCGCCTCCTGCCTGCCCCCCACTGGAGATTGGGCCCACAACCTGGGCATGTGTCCTGATTGGGAATCGAACTGGCGACCTCTTGGTGCATGGGCTGACGCTCAACCACTGAGACACACTGGCCGGACTCTCTTTACTTCTTACCTGACTTTATGTTAATAAACTTATTATTTATTTACTCAATTACTGCTTGTCTTCCCCACTAGAGACTGGAGCAGAGACTGGAATTTTTATTTTTTCCATTTAAAAGAATTTTATTTTATTACTATTATTTTTTAATTAATTAATTTATTTTTGTTACAGATGTTTCTCCTTTTCCCCCCGCTGATTCCCCCTCCCTCTCCCTCCCCACCCTGTTCCCACCTTTGTTGTCCATGTCCATTGTTAATACATACATGCATATAAGGTCTGTGGTTTATCTCCCCCCCACCCCCACCCCTCTTCTGGGGATTGTCGAGACTGGGATTTTTGGTTCACTGCTGTATCCCTAGTGCCAAGAACAACTGGTGTGTAGTAGGTGCTCCTTGAATTTTGTTGAATGAATGAATAAATGAATTAAAAATAGTAATAGTAGTAATAATAATAAACTTGCTTTTTAATATAACAGTAGTTCATAAAATTGGTTCAATATCAATAAATATAAAACTACACCATCAGGAATTTTCTATGTGCAGAATACTCTATTGTACCATAGAATATTTAACCAAGCCCTATTTTTGGAACTTTGTTTTTTTCCCCCCCAAATGTTCAGATTATAGATAATATTTTAGCAAAAATATTGTACATAAATGTCACACACATACGTATGTATTTAGCATATTTTTCTAAAAGTGAAGTTGTTAATTCAGAGAGTATGCTAATTCAGAGTAATACATACTATCAAAATGTTGACCAGAAAGATGGTATCAGTTTAGATTCTTTCCAACAGAATATGAAAATATTAGTTTTCTCACATCCTTGCTACAACTTAATATTACCAGGCTTATAAAACTTTTTCAAACTCAGAAATAAAATAGAGTGTATTTTTCTTTAAAATTTTCATTTTTTCAGTTACTTCACATATATAATATGTTCATGAATTTTAACATACTATATATTTTATGAATTAGCATTTTATGTATTTGCTTATTGTTGTCTTTCGTTAAATTTTTTTCATGTCTGTTAGAAAACATACTTCAAATTGTCATTTACATTTATATTTTACTGTAATTTTTATTTCAATTAAAATGATTTGAATTTGTGTGGTAAAATGTATATTTCTAATCAATAAAAGTTCATCTTAAACTGCTTAAACTTAAATGCATAAATGGGATCATGTGTGATCTAATGTGCTTGGGGACTCAAATTAAGACTCCTTGAAACATTTTCTGTTAGTAGATTGTTCTTCTATGACCACCTAAAGTGTTAAGAGAGCTTTGTGAGCATTAATATTTTCTATTCTTAATCATTAAGAATACAAAATCAATTAAAAATGCCAAGTTGAAACGTTGGGGGTAAGTAAAATAAAATTGATCTAGTTATAAGTATACCATCATACTAGATTCACTGGGTGCACTTACTGTACTAGAGACCTGGTGAGTCAGCCCATCCTTTATACTTCTAATGTTTAGATTCCCCCTTTGCTAGTTAGAATCATATTGTTATATTACATTATGACTTTAAAGACTTAGGGATTACTTATCTCCTTCATTTCTCAAATGACATTAACAATTTACGTAAGTTGAGTGTCTTAACCAAGGTTGCTCTGTAGCAAGACTAAAAACTGGGTCTTTTGATTTTACACCACATTATGCTTCTCCTCCAAAGATCATCATAGAGATCTATGAGATCTCTCATAGAGAGACTTGCTGATTTTAATTTCACCCAATTTTTTGATTTCTGATTTTAATTTCACCCAATTTTTTGATTTCTGGAAAAAACAGGAGTAAAATTGTATATGGTGATTGAGACATTAAGGAATAATTCTGAAAGTACCTGTTCTTTTGTTGACCAGAGACCAGAATGGGGCTTCTCAGTTGCTTTATCTCCATTCCAGGAATCCCGATTGAATTAATAGCACTTAGGAAGAGGGTCACTGCATGGAAAAGAAGCAGAAACTGAATTCTTGTTTTCAGGAAATTCTTCATGAAAAGTAGGAATATTATAAGATCATCCAAATTTCTAAAACCCTGTGAATAGCACTAAGACTCAGTATTATAATCCAGGTGATTCCAGATATTCCAGAGAAAGGGGGGCCAGAATGGAGCTGATGAGGGTAAAGAAAGTGTGAGTCAGGTGCAAGAGCAGGGGACGGGGGCAGAAAACGGGATGGAAATTGGCAATGAAGTGAAAGACTAGAAAGTCAAACTAGATATGAATTTCATAAGAAAGCACTCGGATTACTTGGACTGGGCCTCTGGCCCTCATTGTGTTTTTCTCAACATGGTCAGAGGCTGGATACAATGGAGGAAATGCTTGGTTCCTGGCTGCCCACTGGTTTCATTTGGGATCAATCTTATTCTCGGGTACCAATGAGCTAATTCTGCCCACACTTCATGACTATTATATGAACTTTGAAGTAAAAAATCCCTCAGATTCAAACCTCATGTCCACCCTTGTTAACTATGGGCAATTTGGTTGAACCCTTTGATCATATATATATATATATATATACACACACACACACATATATATATATATATATATACAATCTAATATATATGGCTAACTTCATAAATGGCAAATACTAAGTGCCCAACAAGAGATATGTAGTAACACTATGACTCTGTCATAACTCTAATTTACTGAACTTTTGGATTGTTTTAGTTCTTACCCAGTGGCCAATTAGGTTCTCTTTTATTTTGAAGATGTACATTTTTAAAAGTGACATAAAGGTAATAAAAAGATAAATTCTGTTTTGCCTTAAAGTTTCTTGCTCAGCGTTTACTTTGGTGCATTGAATAAAAACAAATAAGACATTACTTCAAATTAGAAAGTGAAGCTGGAATCTGAAAAAATAAAATAAAATAACTAAGCTCCTCATATTTTCTAACAAATTAGAAAGTCTCAAGAGAAATGAATAAATAACAATGCAGTACTACAGTCATGTATATAATCATCTTTTTATTTCTGGTTATAATGTCTCTGATATGTACAGATGACCAGGATTTCTCTGGGATTTGAAATGTCCAGGAGATCAATAACAAGAGATTTGCATTCTTTTTTTTTTTTTTTTTTTTTTTTTTTGTACAGATAGAGTGGGAGGGAGAGAGAGGAAGGGAGAGACAGACAGAAACATCGACGTGAAGGGACACATCGAGTGGCTGCCACCCGCACGACCAACCAGGGCCGGGGACAAACTGCAACTGAAGTACGTGCCCTTAGCGGGAACCGAACCCGGGTCTCTCCGGACCGCAGGCCGAAGCTCTAACCGCTGAGCCAAACTGGCCAGGGCGAGATTTGCATTCTTATATTTCAAAATACATTTCCATTGCAAATGCAAGAGAGTTAAATAAATCTCTTGAATTTAGATATCACAATTTATAAGAAAACAGTAAGTTTACTAAAGGCAGAGACAGTAAAAAATGGAATATAAGATAAATTGACTTCATGTACAAAAATTGCTATTAGTAGTTGCTTAGTATAACATTTCTAAAACTTGAAATTCAGATATCAGATTTACTAATCTTGTTTCCTCATCTACTTTATTCAGGTGTTATTATGAAAATTCTTTCATCATTTAAAAGCTTATTTGTCTTTCAGCTTTTGCCTACAGAGCAAGTTGTAAAATTTCTTTAAATAAAGTGTAGTAAAATTATTAACAATATTATTATATTTTGCATGTTTATCTTCTTACTTATTTGTGTGGGCTAATATTCTGATACATGGTATATTTCATATGAACATATATTATCTCTCTTACTCTCTCACTGACTCATGCCCACACAGTAAACCATTAAATATCTCTAATTTGGGTTTGAAGCTCCAAATCACATTAACATTTTCTTGGCTCAAAAGGGTTTACTCAAGGTTCTAAGAGAAATCTATTTTTAGGGGTAAGATAATTATAAAGACAGAGGGCCTGGCCAGCGTGGATAAGTGGTTGGAGCCTAATCCCATATACCAAAAGGTTTCAGGCTCAATTCCTGGTCAGGGCACATACCTAGGTTGTAGGTTCAATCCAGGTTGGAGCACATATGAGAGGCAACGATGTTTCTCTCTGTCTCTCTCTCTTTCTGTCTCTCTCCCTCTCTCCCTCCCTCACTCTCTTTCTTTCTCAAATCAATAAACATATCCTCAGGTGAAGGTAAAAAAATTAATATGTAGAGACATGAAAATATGCTTATGACATAAAGTTAAGTGAAAAAAGAATAAATATTATAAACCCAATTTGGAAGGGTATATGTCAAAATGATCCCTGTAATGCTTAATAATAATAGGATTAAAGGAATTTTTTTATTCTGTTTTCTATATTTGTTTTCCACAATAAACATACATGACATATATAATCATCATAAAATGACATATGATACAAATGGTAATTAAATTTCATACCCATAGCTACAGTCTCTTATGAGACTTCATTGAGAAGTAATTGCTGCATATTGCACTGTGTTATTTTCTTGACTAGCTCAAGCTCCACATATCCTTCAAATTTCCTATTCTCTTATGATTTAATAATTCTACTTATTTTACTACTGTCAGCTTTAGTCACCTAAGATATAAATTTAAATTTGTATTGATCTGTTTCCTCTCATTATTCAAGAATAATTAGTTCCCAAGTCCAGTGCATCATTTCTGTGAAATGGTTCTTGAGTGTACCTTCTACCTAACTCAACAGCACCTATAGAAAAAGTTTCAATGTTCTAATCATGTTACAGAACGCTTACAAATGCATACTGAGCTTAATGTTTTGGAGAGTCCAACTCAGCCATATGCTCCACCACACCCAATTCTTTACCATTTTCTAAGTAAGAAATGCTGATCTCCTTTAAACTTACATATAAACAAGCAAACATGTCTCCTCTGACTTCTCCTCTGTGTCTTTCTGGGACAGTTAACTGAGACATTTTTATTGTTCCCCAAATACTTCACACAACCTACTTCAGAAAAATTTAACTTACTGACTTATAATTATTTGCTTTCTGTAATTTCACTAGATTGTGGCATGCTCTTTAAAAGGACCATCCTTCAACTCTTGCATTTGAATCTCCTTTTCTGCCCCCAATATTAACGGAGGGTGAAATATATGGCAAGCATTTAATAATTTACTGTATAACATTATTTTGATTGTCATTATGTGTTATGCTGCTAAATTCAAAATATAATTTATATTGATCCATTGATAAATACATATACTTCACTTTAGTCCCTGTTCATACAATACTTAGACTTCAAATTGATGCCATTAATAGTCAGAAAAGGAGCCCATCTGTTAAGTAAGGTACCTTATATTATAAAGATAATTGTAACTTTGATAAGGAAATCTATCTTTGCTGAAAATCTACCAGGATTTTGCCAGACTCTAAGTAGTATTTAATTTTACTTAATTCCTTACATTTTTTATTTTTAAATATGTTTTCATTGACTCTAGAGAGAGAGGGAGAGGGAGAGAGAGAGAGTGAGAAACATCGATGTGCGAGAGAAACAATTGGTTGCCTCCCATACACACCTCGACCTGGGACTGAAACTGCAAGCTGGGCATGTACCCTGACCAGGGATCAATGAGTATGAGATCTACCTAAAACTGAGTCCAATTCTGTGTGGTTAGAAAACCAGTTCCCTTAAAGAATGAATTGACAGAAAAGTTTCTGCCATAAATAATACACATTTATTTATATGGGTATTATGTGGGTATATGAGTGTTTTCTGAACTAAGTAACAAAACTGTTACAGAAGTAGGAAATAATAATACTGTAAAGTTTCAGTTATTCTAGTATTTGTAGGAAATACCTGAATTCTCTTATTTCCCCTGTGTATCTGCAATGGACAAGATATTTGACAAGGTATCTCAAGATCCTTAGGCTTAATACCAAGCAAAACAGGCTAGATATTAATGTAATTAAGGAGAAAAGGAAATGCTTATATTATCACAATGAGAAGCTATTAATGGATTGATCCCAATCTGTTGCCATTTTATTAATTCGTTGAATGAAGAATTTGCATAAGTACTTATTACATTGCAGATAAGATTGTTGATGTGACAAAAATACACTGGAGAAAAAAGCAAGGTGAAATGACATATACAGAATTGATGATTGGGCTAAATATTTAGAAATAGGGTTTAAAAATAATATAAATTCTTGATTTGGTTCCAAAAATCCTAATTGCTTATGAGGAAAAGATAACTGAGAAAGTAGGAAAAAAGGGAAGGTTTGTATTTACTTTCAATTATTAGCTTAAGGTAAATCAATAGAAAATGTGTCTTCCTCAAATAAATAAAACCAAAGGAGGGAAATAACTATTTCCTGTTTGAACTAATATAGTTACAAGAATTACTTCCACTAATAAATGCAGAATCTTCCAGGTTTTAGCGGTTAATAGCAAATGAGCTCTTCAGGTAGAGAAGACATCTGATTAAAGAGATCTATAAGATTGTCAATTCATGTTTTCTTTTCCCCAGAACTCACCCCCTTAGAATATAGAGGCCGTTATTCCACTGTGCATTGCTCCCCTCCAACCTAAGCAAGGACAAAAGTACATATTTTGTATATGTATCACAAAACTAAGTGTGATTGGCATCTTCAGATATTTTATTGGATACTAAGAGAAATTATCAGACTTAAAGAAATGTAGGTACAGTTTGACTCAAAATTTGAGCCCAAGGGTCAAACTCTGCCTTGGCTTGCATGTTGTCCCATACTAATGTATTTTTTAAAATAATGCAAACAATTATTTACAAAAATAAAATATCCTGAAGTATTAAAAGAAGTATCCCCTAGTGTTTTAAAATTTTGTCTTGTAATCTAAGGATAATGAATGTTTGTGTATGTGTTCTGTGTGTGTTTGTGCAGGAATGTATACATGTGGATTATACACATGCAGAAGAGACTGAAATTATATACTTTTATAGGAATGCATAAATGTATTTTATATTTTTTAAATTCTTCCGAATTTTCACATTTTTTAATAATAAGCACATATTTTCTTCATGGTTGAAAATTAATTTTCTCATATACATAATTTTCTCATATGTATATATAGTCATATGTGTATATATGTGAGTGTGTATATATGTATGCATACATATAGACAAATATATGATGCATACACATTAATAAAAATGTCAAATAGCTAAGTATCAGAAATCAGTATGTGACTAAAGTAGTTAATTCCTTCATCTTCTAGAATTAACATCTAGGATCAAAGAATAATTCTGAAATTTTAATTTATAAATAAATTATTTTAATTATTAATTGTTCAGCTTTATAATGCAGGAACAATACTGTGTCAGCACTGTGACATGCAAGATTATTCATTTAGTCACCACAGTGAATATTTGGGAAACTAAAATAAAGTGAGGTATCTTTTGGCTCATATAAGTACCTATGCTTAGACTTCTGCTCACGATATTGTTGCAGCCTGTTACACGTGATGAACAAAGGAGGCAAAGCTGATATCTGTCTGTTAAATCACCTTTTCTAAGACTAAAAAATTACCGAATAGGTCATTGTTTTTGCCAGGATGCAAAAATAGTAAACTTTAATTTAAAAAATTGATTTATTGATTTATTGAGGTAACATTGGTTAATAAAAATTATATAGGTTTCAGGCATATAATTCTACAGTACATCATCTGTATATTGTATTATGTGTTCACCACTCCAAGTCAAGTCTCCTTCCATCACCATTCATCCCCCTTTACCCTCTTCTGCTTCCCCCCTCTGGTAATCATCATACTATTGTTGTCTGTGTCTATGAGTTTTGTTTTTTTCCTTAATTTTTCCACTTCTGGGAATATATTTTAAGAAATCCAAAACACTAATTTGAAAGAATATATGCACTCCTGTGTTTATTGTAGTGTGATGTAGTGTTATTTGCAATAGCCAAGATTTGGAAGTAGCTCAAGTGTCCATCAGTAGATGAGTGGATTAAAAAAGCCATGGTATATTTACACAATGGAATACTACTCAGCCATAAAAAAGAAGAAATGTTACCTTTTGTGACAACATGAATGGATCCAGAGAGTATTATGCTAAGTGAAATAAGCCAGTCAGAGAAACAGAAGTACCATATAATTTCATTTATATCTAGAATCTAATGAACAAAAACTCACAAACAAAATAGAAACAAACTCATAGATACAGAGAACTGGCTAATAGTTGTCAGAGAGGAGGGAGATTAGAGGGCTGGGTGAAAAATGTAAAGGGATTAAGCAATTAGGCCTTTTTATTGCAAAATTTAAGACCCAAAATGGGAATTAGATAATTAAACACTAAATAGAGTTCTTAGAGGTTGTTTCATTTAATGTTGTATATACTATTCTCCAAACAATTCTACCAAGATAGAAACGTAATATAACCTAGTCTTTATTTTTTTATTTATTAGTATTAACATTATTTATAGCACTTTCTTTGCCTCAAAAGAACAAAGTGTTCTTCCTAAAAATTATCTATGCAATATATTTTCTCTTAATATTCATAAAGGTCAATCTATTGTCTTATTTATTTTACTATTTAAATGTTCTTAAAAGGGTTTATGTAAATATAATTAATAACTTTCACAACCATTTAGTTATTATTCAATTTTACTACTGCAATAATAAATATCCATTTATATTTCAAATTAACTGATAAAACTTAATCATGAAAAGATTTTTACTCCATTACCTATATTTGGAAGTGAATAATGAGACATTAACAATACATCTGAAGTATATATTCTTGTTCCATGTTCATATCACTGATTTTATTTGCTTATATATGATGGTAACCTATCTGATCACATTGATTACACACATGTTGATTTTACCAGAAATAACATTGAACAGGTAATTAGACTGTCATTGTATAAGACCAAATATGAATCCAAATCTTAGATTTTGGCCAAAATGACACATCCTTAAATTATGTGCATCTTTTGGCAATAGTCCCCCAAATCGTCGCGGGAACTGGAGGATTCGTGTTGCTCTAAGACAGAAGTAACCGAAATTGCTTCCAGTGGTTCTCAACCTTCCTAATGCCGTGACCCTTTAATACAGTTCCTCATGTTGTGGTGACCCCAACCATAAAATTATTTTTGTTGCTCCTTCATAACTGTAATTTTGCTACTGTTATGTCTTAGGCAACCCCTGTGAAAGGGTCGTTCGACCCCCAAAGGGGTCGTGACCCACAGGTTGAGAACCGCTGGCTTAGACCAATAACATTACTTGACACACTACTAGGGGTTTGAAAGATATTTACTTGATTGACTATATATATATATATATATATATATATATCCCAAGGCCAATGTATATTACGTCAATGTTTTATTCATTTCAGTTTGCTTACTATGTGCTATTCTTTTGCATTCATTAAAATTTTTTAAAAGTATTAAACTATAAAATTATATAATTAATTTGATTAATAAAGCTTCTATAATGAGAAATTGAAACTTTATTTCAAGGAGACAACTTGGGGCAGTGAACACAATAACAACATACAGATGATGTATTACAAAATCGTACACCTGAAACTTATATAATTGCATTAACCAGTCACCCCAATAAATTCAGTAAAAAATTAAAGACAACATACAACTATTTAAAAAAGAAACTTTATTTTTTTATCCTAAGCAACATCAATATGTTGTCTTCCTAAAAAGGCAAAAATAATTCGTATTAGTTCTGAAGTAATATTTATAAAAGCATTTACTGTCATTTCTCTTGGAACCACTATTTGGATAATTTATAAAATTCACTGACAGCCATTTTTTAAACACTGTTCTAAGTGATTACTATTTGACACTTGCTTTTTGTAGCTGCTTGACCAGGGAATTTTTTTTTAAGAGCTGTATTCACCCTGATCATTGACCTGAATTAGTTTAAATGCTGGCTTGACATGGCTTAGTATTGTAGCCATGTTTGGAAGTCACTGCCCCATGGGCATAACAACCTACTTTCAGAAACCTCAATACTGCGAGTGAATGGAACCACCTCTTTCTGTTGTGTGTGGCTTTCCGTACATCTAGTGCAAATTCATTATAATTGCATTTGTGCTGCTCCAGATCTTGCTCTATGAACTATTTGGATTCATGTGGGAGTGTGGCTTCTGCTGTAGTTATGATAACATTTTTTTAATGCATTTATAAACATTTTTAATGAACATTAAGTCCTGAGATCAAAATAGCTGAATAGATCATCTAAATATCACGTAGTTTTAGATTATACCTTGGGTTTATATTTAAGCCAGTCTTTTTTTCCATTGTCCATAAAACTTCCAGCTTCTCGGGATGTATTGCTTGGGTGCTGTAATGAGGTGCAAGGGGTTAGTATGCCTTTAATTAGTTTGAAGTAAAAAAAGCAATAGATGTCTTTCAGTTCCTTGCCTATCCCAACACAGCCATAAAACCATTCAGAAGGAACAGGAATAAAAAGACAATGGGGGAAATATCCAAAAGTAAATGAAAAAAGAACCTAAAGGAATATTCAGAAAACACTTGTTACATTATATTAAAGAGACATGCATTATTGCCAGAATTATTTTGGAACTGAAATTTCTCCACATTCCTCAGAAACAATCCAACATCTTATATAGTCCACGCATTGTTTATAGCTTTGAATATATGATCATTTCAATATAAATATCTAAATGTTTAACTATTTTACATAAAATTATATTTAGAAAACTAATGAATTTTTCTCTAAACAAAACTCAAACTACAAAAACCAGATATTACAGAACATTTTCTCTTTAACTTAATCATTACTTATTTTTAGAATAGAAGAAACAGTTGATTTACTTTTTGTTTTTGTTTTTTCCCTAGTTATTATCTATCAATATAAAAGGGAAAATTTTGTTTGTGGGATTGTTGATTTCTTTTTTTTACATTCTTCTGTAGTGCTAGAATTTTTTAAATACTTGCTATTTTTAGAAAAAAATCAAATCAATTTTGAGAAATTGATAATTAACAGTATTAAAAAGACACCAAAATGAATATTAGGAAGGAATTCTGTAATTTGCAATAAAATGTTGATTTTTAAGATCTATTATTATATATTTCAGAAAACACTTGATAGACTCTTTGTTCCTTCACATGGCACTTTTGACACAAGAATACCTACATATATTTAGAAGTAAAATGATATTCCATTAAGAACTTAAATATTCTTACAGAAATATAAGTAGTTGATATTTGGACTTTCCACTTGTTTTGTTTTAAAACATGAAAAACAGCTGCATGGTTTTCTGGTAAAAAGGTGGTCATGTAGGATAATAAAGTTAATAAGAATCTGATTTTGCTCTGGGACCTTCCAACTTAATGCTTCCTTCCAACTAAACGGGCAAACACATGAGCTCAGGTAATGCACACACGTTTGAACACACTCTGGGCAAACTGCTCCTGAGCCATGATGGACTAGTGAACAGGCCACAGGATCGGCAAAAGCTATGCATGTGTAGATTTTCACTCTCCCAAATACTGAGTTCATAACCTTGGACAATTTCTTTTTCTTAACTTATATTTAAAGTAGACATGACGGTGTAGAATTTGAGAACAATGTATCATGTATCAAAAACATAAAACAGCATAGTAAATGGTTTACAAAAATTAGTTCCCATATTATTACATTTATAAATCCTTGAGGAGGGTACTACAGAGTTAACATGACAGTTATTCAAGTAGCACTATATATTACTAATGATGATAATAACAGTAACAACAATAAAACGAAGACGAAACAGGAAGGGGAGACAGGGCGAGGAGGAAGAGGAGGAGTACAAGTTGAAGTAGCCAGATTAAGAGTCACTTTTTTGAATAATTTTGAATCTCTCCAAATGGTTTTTATTTAATACTTTACCTTTTGTATCATTTATGCATAATTACATTAACAAGGGCTTTTTTTTGAGAGGTTGTATACTGCCATAACAAATACCACAGACTGGATGGCTTAAACATTTATTTTCTCACAGTGTTGAAAACTTGAAGTCCAAGATTGAAGTGTTTGTAGGTCTGGTTTCCGGTGAGACCACTCACTTTGGCTTGTGGTTCGCAACTTTCTCACTGTTTCCTCCCATAGGCTATGCTCTGGGACATGTAGGGAAAGAGATGGAGCTCTGGTGTCTCTTCTTATAAGACCAGTTTTATTGGATTAGGGACCTGCCTATGACATTTGTTCATCTTAATTACTTTCCTAACAAACCAATATTCAAATGTAGTCACCTTGGCTGTTAGTGGTTCAACATGTAAATTGGGGAGGGCATGCAATTCATCTCATAACACGTGTGGAGAGCAGAAATCAGGGTTGGTGTGTGACTCATAGGGAGAATTTATTTGGTGCGAAATCAAGGAGACTAGTTAGAAACCAAAAGAACAGTTTCTCTAACTCACCGTCTCATTTGCCAAAATCTTGATCCCCAAAAGAAATATTACTTAAAGGCTCGTACCATTTTTTTTGTTTTGTTTTATTTGGATCATTTGGTAAATAATAGACCCTTAACAACTTTATTTTTAATTTTACTTGATGAAAAAAACGTATAGTGTCGTCAAATAAGGATTTCTCATTGGCTTTCCATGACATAAACATTTATACATATTACTTGGGAAAAGCCCTTTTTCTCTCTCATAATTACCATTGGTGTTTATGATTGTTACATTTATTGCTAGAAGCTGAAGTACGACTACATACTGTCAGCCAAAGCTTTCATCACCCTATGGAAAATGTTCGATTTTACTGAAAACCCTGGACAATCATCATGCTGATTGCTTAGCTTGAGTAGGACAGCACCAGCTCTGTGCCACTGGAGTTAATGCTTTTCTGGACCAACTTCTATTTTCAAGTTGTCTGCGGGGGCTCTTTAGCCTGGATAGCAAACACCTGGTTGTGAATCCTGTGGCTCAGCCAAGTGAGTCCCACTGATACTAGCAGTGCTGACCGCCCAGCCTCAATCTGTGCTACTCATGGCATTTCCTCTTCTGGATGGGAAAATCTGATTGTTCTGACCCTCATTGTCTCTCTCTTCAGGGACTAATGAAATATTTCATTAGCACTGGATAGAGATACAGTTGTTACATTCATTCTTTAAATATTTCTCCTTATGTACTAATATTTACCTTACATTTAATCAACTTTAACAGTACAGCAAACTTTACTTTATCATCGTAATAAGTTCAAAATTATAAATAGCAATCTGTCTTTAATGATGAAGTGATCAGAATGATCAAGAAAGCAGCTAATTTTAGTATTTTATTTACCATGTACATTTATAACTTAATCCTTATGGTCATGAATGAAGAGAAAATCTTTTTAATTTTTATTTTAAATTCATGCATACTTTTGCTTTCTTAAATAATTTTGAAAATAAAATTAGGATTTGCTTTACTAGAAAGCTGAGATTTAAAACATTTACCTTAAAAGTGACATTGGGACTGTGAGATTCTCTAACCTGAGACTTATTTGACTGATTGCTAAACAGTTTTACAGTTAAGGCTCTAGATGGCTGTAGCTGATTATATCTGGGGATTGTAATGAGGGATCTATTGCCTAGAAAAGATATTATTGATGAATTGAAATATGTTTCCTATAATCTCAGGGTTCAGTGAACAATGGAAGTGCTTTTAGGGGTCACAGACCCCAGGAAGGTAATTATCAAGGTGTGGGATTTGAGTCTGCTGGCTGAGTTCAAATCCAGTGAGACATGATAGGTCTATTTTATTATTATTATTATTACTATTTATAATGGTCCCACTTATTTTTTTACTAATTTTTATTGAATTTATTGGTGTGACAATGGCTAATAAAATAATATAGATTTCAGGGGTGCAATTTTATAATACATCTGTCTATTGTATTGTGTATTCACCACCCCAAGTCAAGTCTCGTTCCATCACACTTCTCCCCCTTTCCCTCTGATAGTCACCATACTGTTGTCTGTCTATAAGGTGGGTTTTTCTTTTGTTGTTGTTGCTTAATCCCTTCACCTTTTTTACCCTGCCCTTCTACCCCTCCTCTCTGATAGCTGTCAGTTTGTTCTCTGTATCTATGAGTCTGTTTCTATTTTGTTTGTTAGTTTATTTTGTTTATTAGAGTCCACATAGAAGTGAAATCATATGGTATTTGCCTTTCTCTGACTGGCTAATTCTACCTTTAAATAGCTATTTATGGACATGGTTTTTATAGGACAGTTACCATTGTGTTCTAAAGCTCTAATTAACCTATAAACTAAGCTTTTATTTGGGATGTGTCATTGCCATCTAACTTCTCTCAGGCCACCGGCCACCTCCTTCTCTCTCACCACTGGGCCTCAAGCTGACAAAGATACCAAACAGCCCCGGGCCCAGCACCACCCTCTAGAAGAGGCAAGTCATCAAAGTCATCAAGGGTGGACGCAGTAGCTTAACATTCTGTCCATCCACCTTATTCCAGAAGCTGAAGTGTTTCTTATGTTACAATAATACTAAAGACTACTCAGTACCTTTAATTTATTACATTTCAATAGAGTTTTTACACTGAAGAAAGGAATGCTAAGAGAATTAGAGAAAGCTAGTATGCTATAAAAAAAATCTTTTTTACCTACTTAAATATGGCTGTTTCCAAGTCCCCGTGTCCTCGGTTACTCATAAAGATGGTACCACTATTGAATTGAAACAGGTAAGTGTTTTAGGTCAGAGTTCTACTTCTATTTCTTTATTGAGGGTACAAACAGCAATCAGATTAGGTATAATGTGAAATCCTAGCAACTCTCATTTTAATCCACTCAGTGTCTTTGTGACAAAATTCAACCAGTAGATGGCACTATTTATTTCAGTGAGAACAGTTCACTTTCAGTGCCATAAAAATAAGCAATTAATTGCCAAATGTGGAAATAAGTAGAATCCTTCACATTTTATTGTAAGCATCCCACAATTGATTTGTATTAAAATACCTAAAAATATATATATATAAAATCAACACATATTTTCTCATTCAAGAATGGACAAATGCTTCTGGGACTTTGTATGTTTTTCAAATAATGATGTAAGAAAAAACATAATAAATTTAAAAATATTAATTTAAGAACTTTGTTATCAGCCTTGAAAAAATAAAATATATGCATATACATATAGACATACAAATTTATATATTTTTTAATTTTATTTATTTATTTATTTTTGTTAATTCTCACCCAAGGATTTTTTCTATTGCTTTTAGAGAGAGTGGAAAAGAGGGAGGGAAAGAGAGAGTGAGAAACATTGTTATGAAAGGGACACATCGATTGGATTGCCTCCCACCCAATCCTGCCAGGGCCGAGGATGGAACCTGCAACCCAGGTACGTGCCCTTGACCGGGAATCGAAACAGAGGACACCTTGGTCCGAGGGCTGACGCTCTATCTGCTGAGTCAAACTAGCTTGGGAAATTTATATATATTTTCAATCTGTTTCAATTCTTCAATCAAAAGACAGTAAATATGCATTCTGAGGATCTCTTTCTATCCTGACACATAAACAGTGATAGCTTTAACATGAAACTGAAAATTATAAAGACTTAGCTATTTTCAGAAGCAAAACTAAGATCTTTGAGGAAATGGAACTGAAACAGAGTGTAAGTGAGGTAGCACCTGCAGGCTTGCTCGGCTTGGGGCAGAAGCAACCCAATGCTGTCAGGAAATGCTGATCCTTTAGTTAATAGAAACTGAAGGCACCTCTTGGGGTAGAGTGGATAGAACCCATTCACTATTATAACTTAACCTTTACACGTTAAAAGACTAAGAGCTATGAAGAAAGTATTCCAAAATGGTAACAGTTGTGGGTGGTAGGTACATAGGTAATTTTTATATTATTCTCCCTACTTTTCTAAAAGACTGAAATATTGCAAACTATAAAATAATACCAAAGAAAAAAAATGTTTAAAACTGTATATCTTCTCATTGTAAATTCATCAATTCCGCCCTTTCTGTAGTCCTGCTACTGATTTTACGAGAGATAAACCTTTCCTAGAACTAATGTAATAGAGCGTCCTGAAAAAGTTCTCCTTTAAAAAAAAAATCAAACAAAATGGAATAGAAATGATAGACAAAAGCTGCTTAATCTCTTTTGTACATTGTTTACTTGTTTTTACTTTTGAAATCCTTAGTCTCATGTTTTCAATTGATTCTTGCTAATTCAGCAGATAATTATCAGGACACTTTGTTCCACACACACTTTATATTATCTGCCTGCATCAGAGCAAACGGGAAATGTTTCTCTAGTACTAAATTAGCGTTAGGAAAGAATACTGGGGGCATTATAATTGTGTTGATGTTGCTTTTGCATTTCTATGAACCAGAAAATCTAATTGGACTACTTGTAGCGTTTTAAAAAATTCTAAATTGGCAGTTTACTAAAGAAATGAAGTTAGACTTCTCCCACATTTAGGGGCTTACATTGGAAAAATAAATTTAAATTTTGGCACCCTGAAGAATATTAAGAGATTATTGTTAGGTAGGAGATATGAACAGAATACCATACACCCTATATTTCTGATGTAAATGAGATTTAAAATTTTTTAGTTTGCATAAAACCCGTCAATAATTCTCCCATGGAGGAAAAAATAATGTTTATATCCAGAGGCAAACACAAATGCTTAGATTCTAGACAAAGGTTAAAAAAAAATTACAATAAGACTTCTAATACCAGTATAATTTAAAAGGCCTGATGGGAAAAAATACACACTTGAGTAAATAAGAACCATCAGTGGCCCGACTCAAAATGACAGACTGAGCACACCCATTTATTTTTTCATCCTGCTGGCAATTCTATTGATGTAACAAAAAGGTAATGCATTTATGAAGCATAAATCTGTGAAACAAGAATGAATTTTGATAATAGGCCAGATACTGTGAAAAAAAAATCTAGAAGTGAGACAGTAGACAGGATCAGATGGTAGACAACAAGGAGAGAGAAAATCACAGTCAAGCACCCAGACACACGGTATTAGACGGAAAGGGACAGTTAATCCACAGAGCTCAGATAAATTCCATGGTCAAAATAAATAACGACATAACAGGAGGACCTCTAGAACAATCACCGGGATTAGTCAGTAAAGGCTAAAATCAAAACAGGCTCTGAAGTCAGGCCTTTTTAGGCTCATGAATATGGAGTGAATATGACCAGTGCAGTGATGATAGACTTTCTTCATGAGTCAGTGTGCTCCAGGAGGAGAAAACAGAGAAAATGGAAAATGGAATTTTCCTTCAGCTCCATCTTAAAATTAAATTTTTTATGAAGACTGGCCAGTCAACGGTTTCCCCAAAGGCACTTTACATATGGTAATACATTGATCTCCGCAACCTTGTTGTGAATTTGACATTGCTACCCATTTTACAGGTGAGGTAACTGAGGCCCAGAGACACAAATTACCTTTCTCTAAAGAATGTAACTATGGCAAATGGAAGGGAAAGAATTGAACTGTAGGTTATTCTACATGTCTGTGAGATGACAGTGAAGGGGCAGTAAGGCAGAGGATGCTGTTCTAGGCTGATGATCCTGGAGGAAGATGTGGGAATTACAGGAAGGGACTTTCCTAGAGGGACAGACTGGAGCAGATTGAATATAGTAAACAGACTATAGACAGAAAGTTCTGGGCAGAAGTTATAGATTCTAGGATGTAAGAGAGGAAATGAGATGTTTGCTTTTCCAAATTGTACATCGTCTGTGATAAAGGAGTTGAGCCTTAATAAGAATATTTGACATGTGAAAGAAAAAGACTGGTGGGAAGGAGGTAACTGGTAGAGAAGGGTGAGCAGGGGCAGATTCAGAAGACTCACTTTGCAGACATCATGACTTTGCCTATGTTCTGTGTTCTGTTTCTTCAGCTGGGTGGGGACAAAGCATTGCTGTACTTAAAGAGACTGTCATTTTCAGTTATGAGTGTAGGCAGCTCTGCTTAGAATAAGACTTTATGAAGGCGGCATTTTTCCAGGAGATGTGGTTACTTGAGAAAATGGTATTAATCCAGGAGTCCTTACATTCTGGGGAGGGGGTGGAGTGAGGGCGAGCTAAAGCAGGATTTCTGAGGGCAGAGAGTGGGAGACCACCAGTGGGGGAGCCGGGGACAGGATGAGAAAGGCTGGCAGTGGGATCAGGGGGGCGTCTTGATTTCCTTCTTCGTTCTGCACTGTGGCCCATCTGCAGATCATTTAGTCAGGAGTAAAAGTTGGTTGGAACAATATTTTGTTTAGGTGGATGCTGTACTGGTCAAGGAGGGATTCCTGATTCCAGTGGCCCTGAGGTCTTCCTCTAATTAACACATCTGCTCTGAGATCAGATTTAAATATTAAGAAGCTCGTGCCTCTTGGGGTCCTTGAAGCAGCTTTTTAATGATCATTCTCCTATTATATAACCTGCTTTTCTTAAATGTTTTCCTCCTTTTAGGACAAGGGCCAGACACAATGGTGATCTAGGAAATGTTTGGTTTGGGTTTTCCTTTCCCAATTCGTGTAACTTTCTTTCTCAGACTCACTCTCCCAAGTGCCTACAATTCTCATGCTGACACTCCCAAATATACCTAGCCCCCTGTTATGACAATGATTGGTCCCTTGTCTACACCCTTACTAATCCCATGGGGGAAAGCTTACAGGTGTTGGGAGATGTTAAAAGTCAAAGTGTTATGCCTAGCAGGGCTGTTCGCATTTTACCTAAAGATATCAGAAACCTGAAGATCCTATGAATTGCAAATAAATCTTTAAAAGTGGAATTTTAGGTACCCAGACAGGCTATGGCAAAGAGATTTGTAAAGTTCAAAAAACATTTCTTGTGCAATATTTTCTAAAATTTACCCAAACTGAGAGAAACCGACCAGAATTTCTTTCCAAACCCTGTGGGAACTAACACTATTTTGATCTGCATCGTGGGGTATTGGGAAGATGCATCTCCCCCAGATGTACCCCTAATTCTGATAGAAAAGATTACTACAAAGTTGCATACACCCTATGTGCATAAGGCTGGCTCTAGCTACTGCCATCAGATACATATGCAAAAATGTCAACAACTAACTTTGCCACCCTCTACCCTTAGGTCAAGAGAAGCCATATCATCCTCTGCTGTAGAGTTTCCAGGAGAGACATGAGAACATTATTCAACAGACTGTATTGGGGGGGGGGGGGAGTAGAAAGTAAAAAAAGGTGACAACTTACCCAGTAAATTAAAATAGCTATCTGTTTAAAAAAAAATTTTTTTTTTCAGGAGATCAGACAGAAATAAAACAATCATGAACAGGATTGGTATTTTTCATAATTGTCATTCTTATTGGAATAATTCCTCTCCGTTACTCTTCAAAACACAGTATATTCCAGTCTTTTTTTTCCCCCATAAACATATATATTCTTATAAAACATGACATATTTTTATTCAACTGCCTTTCTATTTTATTCTCAAACTAATTAATCTTTGATGACTTCACCATTGCTAACAAGTTAAAACTAATTCCCTGATTGCCTTTCATCTTGGATTAGAAATGGTAATTTCCCATTGACATTCGACATCAAACCTAATAATAATCAAAACAATTTTTTCTTCATACAAAAATTAAGTCAACTAGTTATTGAGCCTCTACTATCTGCATTTGGATAACAAAATATAAAATGAAAGAAACTCGGTTTTCTAGTGTCTACTATA